ATAAAACCAAATCCACACAGTGCAATTTAAGGTCCCACAACTTAAACAATTAGAGGTTAAAAAAAAAATCCATCCTATCAGGGCCATTGGATACCCCGACACCTAATCTTTATAGAGACACTTGGGGGTACTGTAAAGAAAAGGGCCAGTGGACTTTTTAAAAAATTTTTTATTGAGGTCACATTGGTTTATAACATGTAAATTTCAGGTGTATTTCATTATTTTCGACTTCTGTGTAGACTACATCATGGTCACCACTAAAAGTCAAGTTTTCATCCGTCACCCTAGAAATATGCCCCTTTACCCATTTTGCCCTCCTGCAACCCCCTTCCCCTCTGGTAACCACCAGTCTGTTCTCTGTTATCTGTGTGTTTGGCGGTGGTGGTGTTTTATCTTCCACATATGAGTGAAATCATATAGTATTTGGCTTTCTCTGTCTGGTTTATTTTTTTTAATACCCTCAAGGTCCATCCATGTTGTCACAAATGGCAAGATTTCATCTTTTTTTTTATGGCCGAGTAGTATTCGACACTGGATTTTAAAACACAAAAAGGAATTCAAGTGTGAGATTTAGTCTCCCCAGTGATTCCCTTCTGGCAGACTTTCTCCTCTGTGCTCATAAATACCCCTCAACCCACAGGGGGAGATGACTATCCCCATGAATGGGCAGCCTTTTCAGTACACACAGGAGCCACACCCTCCCCTACAAATATCTCACAGTCCCCCCCCTCGCCCTCCCTCAGTTCACAGCAATGATCATGATGAAATGGCATAATGTGCCACACGGCTTACGCTTGTCTAAGACACTCTCCGTTTCGTTAGGTCCCTTCCTACCCCGCACAGTTTCTTACTCAAACTACTCCAGTAAATATTTTCAGAAGGGCTATTCTATCAATCTGGAACGTTAAGATTTCACATTTACAAGAGAGCCTATTTTTTATGGTCCCTGACTGCTCCTATCCATCTAAGATGGTCCACTAACCTTCCTCACCCTCCCCCCAAAAAACCCATCAGCCTCTCCCTCAGGCCCACATGGTCAAGATATGTTGACCCACATTCCTGCTTCTCTTTGGGCCTCCAACTCAACAGAGGGTGCATCTCGGAGCCTGAACCTCTTAAAGTGGAAACAGATCCTTTCATGTTCCTCCTGAAACACAGGATCTGACACCAGAGGCCTCCAGGCCTCACTCAGAGCCTCCTAATGCCTGCTCCAGCCCCTGCCACACTCCCATCTTGTCCGTCAAGAACCCCAATGTTACCATGGGGATGCCGGCTAGTCCAAGACCTGTAGGCCGTAAATCAAATAGGTTCTCGTGAGCTCCCAATCCAAACACCGCCCTGGCCTCCATCTGTACCTTCAACACCGCCCACTCAACTGTCTTCACACCTCCTCTGCTTTCTGTCACATTCCTCTACATCCCCGCTTACAATCCCTTTTTGCTTTCACCTGGGAAAGTCAACAATACACAGGGACGGTTATGCCTCCAGGGGTCACTGAAGCCTGACTTTTCTGGGACTCTGAATGTTCATTGGAGGGATTAAGTTTTCGTCTGCAATTTCTCTCGAATCCACTATATGGATGAGCTTCTCGTCTGCTCGCTTCATTTCAATAGCTCACTTGCTGACGCTCAATATCTCCCCCAACCTCTTGCTTATAGGGACACAAGGTATCTAGGGACAAATGACAACTCTGTAAGTCACAAGTACACTATTTAGGACATGACCTTGCACCTGAAGGTAAAACTGAATCCGCAGAAAGCATTTATCCCATCATTAATTTCATCTTTACCCAAGACTAACGCAAGTCCAACAGTTTCTGGGCTAAGAGTTTCTGTTATGGGTTGAATTGTGTCCCCCCCCAAAAAAGACATGTTGAAGTCTTATCCTCCAGTACTGCAGAATGTGACCTGATTTGGAAATTGGATCTTTGCACATGGATTGAGCATTGTCCCACATACCCCCCTCAAAGATCCCTCCCAACTCACTGCTGATTGTCACAGGAACCTCCTCTGATCCTTACTAGGGATGAATCAGGAGTTATGTGCTTCTTCCCGACTTCTCTAACAGCCCCTTCGTGGGCCTCAGTCTCTGTAATCACTGGACCTTCTATGCGGCGAATGACACCGTAACAACCCTAATGGCGGGAACCACCTCCTCACTGAACTCACTCGGGGGTTCTGGCTACCAAAATATTACCCATCCCGAGTCTACCAATGCCGCTGACAATTTGTCTTAGGATCAGTGGCTTCACTCCTCTTGTGACTCATCTCACGGTCCCAGTCCAGGGCCCGTATCTTCTCCTTGGTTTACCACTTTTAATCATCATTTGTTTTCTGACAGCTCAAATAAATAAGACAATTATTTTTATGAGTCTTGAATTGCCCCCAGTGATGCAGACTTTCTTTACTCGTGGAGGTTTCACAGACTGGTATCTATCTACCAGCCAAACTGGTTCCGGTTATCCTGCCAATCAGAGTTGCAAGTCTCCTTCACCCTATCCATCAGCTGCACTCTTTCTCCTCTCAAGCCCCCAGCTCCTCACAGATGTAAGAGATCTGCCAAGTCCTGTGGCAGCTGAAGAGCACCCACAGACAGAAGATCCAGGATGACTGTGATCTCTTTTTTCATTAGGATCTAAAGGAACAAGAAGCCAAATGCTTGGGAGTAAATCCAGGGATTTAATATGGCCTCTCACCATATTTGGGCAGCTTCTGTACCCAGGCTAGGGGCTTCCAGGGGAGGGACTCGTGTGCTGTGTTGGGAGCAACTGCAGCCCGCTCATTCCCAGGAACTCTTCAGACATCACCACCGTGAATAAGAACATCAAGAAACCAACAGGGAAATCTGCAGAATTGCTACCACTGTTCTGACTCCACCGACTAAGGATCTCTTTTCACCTCCTTCTTGGAACCCTCTCAACTGGCTGCCCTCTGGCCTCAAATCTTGGTTTTACACCCTTATTCAACCATTGATAGTTCTCTTTTTATTTATCTTCCTAGGAATATTCATCTTCAAATGCCTGGTGATCAGAACCCTAAACCAGCTCCAGATCCAAAATTTTACACAGCAAATGGTCCAACTGGCTTTGCACAAACAACAGGGATGACAAACCAATCCTGACATCACCCCCGACACTAACTACTAAGAAAATCTTGTTTGAGAGCGAGCTCTCCGGATTCCCCTAGCATCCGTCCCATCATCTCCCCATTGTTGGAAAATTAAGGCCATTTAAGGATAGTGCAGGTCTGTCTGAAACAAGAGGGAGGTTGTATAAAGTTCGTGTCTACTAAAGTCTGGACTCCTTTTTCTCCTTGGGATTCACTACATTATTTTTTGCTTATTTTTCGGACCTTTTTTGGCTTTTTATACACGGAAGACACTGCTCCAAGCACTTGACAAATATCTCATTTAACCCTCATAACAACTCTATGAGGCAGGCAGTATTATGACACCCCTTATACAGACGAGAAAATTGAGGCACAGAGAGGTTAAGCAAGTTTCCCAAGGTCACCCAGCTGGAAAGGGGTAGAGCTGGGGCTCACCCCCAGGCAGTCTGGTTCCAGAGTCTTTGCTCCATCACTGCCATTGCCTCTCCAGCTTATGACCAGAAGGTCGCCTGGTGCACAGGAGGTCATAAAATAGGGAGGTTCTCACATGATGTTCTGGGCCCTGGCTTTTAGAGAGTCAAGATCTGTCTGAGAAATGGGTATGAATCTTGGAGCTAGATGAAGAAGGAGCTAGATTGGAGCTCCTTGGAGGTTGTAGGGACGCACACTCGGCGTAGTGACACAGGCTGGCCGCCTGAGGGGGCGCCAGCTCTGCTCGCGGAGCCAGGGGAGGGAGGAGGGAACCTTGGAAACGAATGGCAGGCTCAGACTCTTAGGACCACAGAACGTTGAGAACAGAGCATCTTAGAAGGCTGAGAACAAAGCCTCTTAGAACGTAAAACAAAGGCCCCTGGAATCTAGAATGGTGAGCGCCAAGCCTCGCAGCATCTGGGAGACAAAAGACGCTTAGATTCCGTTCTGGTCGAATCACAGAATCTTCCATCCAGGGTCTTATAATTCCAGAATTTGGGATGTAACCGATCTTATACTCTTAGAAGCAAAACTGGCTACAGAATTTGTGGGACCCAGTGCAAAATGAAAATGTGGGGCCCCTTGTTCAAAATATAAGAATTTCAAGACAGTAACAGCAGATCATTAAACCAAGTGCGGGGTCCTGCTAAGCCGGTTGCACGCCCGTGAAGCTGGCCCCGCTCAGAAGCATAATTTTATAGGAGGATGTCGGTCTTAGCTGGCTTGGACCTCCAGTTTTACAGCTGAGTGCTGGGAAGACTTCGTGGAAGAGGAGGCAAAATCAGGGCTCTACTCTAACCCCTTCCGCCCCCTGCGCAGCCTCAGAAGCGAGGGTCGTGAAGGATGGGGGGAGAACCGCAGCTGCCAAGCGGTCACGTGGACCCATTCTCTATTTATGGCTCACCCCTTCCGCTCCCCGTGGACAGTCCAATGGTAGCCGGAGTTCGCCCGCAAGGGGGCGGAACCAGCTGCGGGACCGAATAGGCACGGGCCAATGACGTTGGGGCAAGGGCGGGCTTGTTTCCACTGTGGGGGGCGTGGCCACGGCCCAAAGGCAGGCGAATGGAGAGGGCGTGGCGAAGCCGCCCAGAGCGGAGCGAGTAGGCAGCTACGAGCATGCGCCGCGTTGTGGGCAGCGGGCGCACAGCCGAGCATCTTCTTGAGAGAGGGTACTCGCCAATAGGCGACTGTTGCTCTGTCTCCGGGGGCGTGGCCATGCAGATAAGGCGCGGAGGGGCGGCCCAATGGGCGGGCGCCTATGCAGATGAGACGGTGACAGCCGGGCCAGCGGG